AACAGACAGTCAAGCAGAATCAGAGCTACTCTGATGTAACCTTACCTTGAGATATTCCGAGCCTTTGCTTCCCTTTTTCTAGGTAAGGAGGCATAGACTCAAAAATTAAAGTGGTTCTCCACATGAATTTGGTGACAGAGCTAAGATTAGAAGTCAGATCCCCTACTATTATTTATGGCAGAAGAAAAAAGGTAGGCACATACACTACTGCTTTAGCAGGCAATTAAGCATTTCTCTGATGCCTTAGGATTTTTCTTAAAATTTTACACAAATTTTTCATTCTACATCATCATATATCCTCAATGATTTTATGTAAAAGAAACTTTAAAATTACTTGTCACAGAATAAAAAAGACCCTCCAGGAAGATGCATGTGGTCATCTACCCCTGGGCACACTGCCACTTACCCCCAGGCATGCACAAATCCCAGTTTGAAAGACACAGGTTGATCACAGATACAAAATTATCTTAGTACTAGGATCTGATGTCTTAGGGTCCTCTTCCTGTCCTGATGTGTTCTCTTATCTATGATCTATGGTCTACCCTTCCCTGGTGGTCCAGTGGTTAAGACTCCGTGCGTGGGTTCGATCCCTGGTTTGGGAACTAAGAACCCACATGCCACAAACAAACAAACAAACAAACAAACAAAAAACAGAAAAAATAAAGCAACTATGATCTGTGGTCTACCATCCCCATTTCCAACCTCAGTTCTAGGAACTCAAGCACTATCGTCCAGGGAGAACTGCCAAACTCCTACTCATCCTTTGAGGTTCAAGTCCAGCATCATCTCCTCCAGGAAGCCTCCTATGACAATTCCAAGCCCAGGTGTTCCTTTCCCTGCCCACCCCCCACTCACCCCCACCCCACCACTAGACCCTAGGCATGCTAATCCTAGCACTTACCATGCCATGTTGCAGCGTGTTTGTGTGCGTGTTTGCTTCCTCCAGAAAGTATGACACATAAAAAGTACTCAGCAATGTTTGCTGAATGAGTGAATTTAAGGTGGTGGCTGCAGGCTCCCTGGGGCCCACTTGTCATCATGCTCCCTAGCCCACTCCCGCCATGGTTGGAGGGATGCAGAACTCAGCAAGTGCACACTTACTGGCTGGGGGAGGGGCTCCGGAGGTACCGAGCCTGCACGGCTCTCATATTGGCTTCATCCTCTTCACTTGGGACTACCTGCTCCTCCTCTGGGTCCCCACTTGTTGCCATGACAGCCTGTCAGCCCCTGTAGGTTTGGCATGAAAAGGGCAGTTAGAAAACCCTGGAGGTTTTTTGCTGGAGGTTTTTTTGGGGGAAAGGGTGTGTCAGTGATGTCACCTCAGTGGAACTAGGAACGGGAAAGTCACCACATGTTAATAGCCTGGTGGGGAGATCACCCATGAGGAAAACCCAGTCAGACTTGATCCAGCTACTGTTATCAGGACACCAAGATGCACACCCTGGCCGTGTAAACAGCCCACCTTGGAGTCGTAAGATTTAAGAAGTGACAACTTGGCTCCTTCCACAGATGCCAGCAAGAAAGCAGCGAGGGGAACCAGAAATTTGCCTCTCTCTCCCCCTCTCTCTCCCTCTCTCTCTCTCTCTCTCTCTCTCTCTCTCTCTCCCTCTCTCTCTCTCTCTCACATACACACACACACACACACACACACACACACACACACACATCTTTTGTCTTTACCGGGAAGATGCCTTCTTCAGCGTCTCTAACCAAGGCCACAGGACCACTACCTTTGGCTCAGGCGTCATCCCACAGCCTATTAAGGAATATGAGATCCCCCAGGATCTGGTCCCAGACATGGCTGGGCCCTGACGCTCAGGGCAGAGCTTCTGCCCCTTTGTTTGTAAGTCCTGGGCTCACAGGACAAAATGAAGGGAGAAGCACACTCACCGCTGATCTGCCTGTATCTCCACACCAAGGGGCAGCCACCCAAGGGCTGAGGGACCCAGACGAAATGGCCAGAAGCTCCGACCAGTGAGAGGGACCGACCTCCCCTCTCCCGTGTTCCTTCTCTGAGGGGCAGGACAGCTGTTCACAGGAAACCCTAGCCAGCTTCTAAATTTAGCTTCTGGTCCCACAGCCTGGCAGATCTCTGGGAGGAAGGAATGCAGGCTCAGGACCCAGTCCCGAAAGCAGGCCCCACTTAA